ATATGCGTGATGCAGTAAGTAAAATCCAACCTATGAACTTGAAGAAAAAATCAAATTTGAATTTAGTATTCCAAAGTTCGATATCTTAGAGTTCTATTACAAATTATTGTTTATTTGAAAAAGAAAAAGTACCCCGAAGAATATTGGGACTACATCATTTACTTTTGAGAAGGATTCTAAAAGATTTGAGTTCGATTAGTTCGAGGTAGAGCTTCTCCCAACCCAGGGAGAATGATACAAATAAAAATTAGGGGTTTTTAATTTTTTTTATTTTATATTTTGAACTTTTAGAAAAAGTGTTATTTGAGTTTAAGTTTTCTTTAGGATTGTACTTGTCTTCTTTAGTTGTAGAGATTTAAGAAGTAGAATAATACATCATGTCTGGGACTTAGTTAGGACTTATTTTTATACATGATATAATTTCTATTTTTGTAATTCAGGTTGATAAGCATCATGAAAGGTCTTAATGAGTTGATAAGCATCATAAAAGGAAAAAAAAAAAACGGATTAGAAAGTGTATAGAGATGGGTGGGGACTTCCTAAAATTGTGGGGTTTCAAGTGACGTTTAGAGTGGTAGATGGAAAGAGAAAGTTGTATGGAGGAGTGAGAGAGTTTGTTTTTTGTGGAGGTTTCTTATAATATATTATTTCTTCTAAGTCGTATTTAAATGGAAGTCTGTTCTTTGAAGGAGGAGGTGATTGAAGAATAAAAAAAGAGTTTGATCTCTTGAAAAGATCTTTGGTAGACTCCCTTTCACACTTAAAGAAAGGGTATAATCTCTCTAACATTTATTTCTATTTTTAGTTTTTTGGTTTACTACTTTTTCTCTACGTCAGTGTGTGCGTGGTTGGGTTAGAGAGGAGGGCCTGAAGAATTATTTTTAATGGATATTGAGTTAACTAGAACTTTGCGTGGAAGTTTTGGGAGCTACAGGAGTTTGAATAGATTAAGGTTGAGCATGAACAAGCTCCCCGAGTGTTGTTCTTGCTGCTTTTCGGGGTTATCCCATGTTTATTTTTTGGAGCTATTTAGAAGGGTTTTAATATATTCAGCGTATGTTTGATTTCTGCAAGATGCAGCTTTGGAAACATCCACTTCAAGTATTGTAGTACTTTTTTGTTTGATAAAAGGTAAGTTTTATAGTAAAGTAGATATAACGGTATCCACTTGCCTTACATTTAAGGCTAAAAAGTGGGTACCGCCAGATTCATAGTGGGTATCTCTTACCTAGAATACGCGGACGTAGATGTATTTTGGTATGCATGCTGGGTCCTGGATTTGTGGTTTGAGGATCCTGAATTAAAATGAATTAATTTTAGAGTTCAAGACTTGGATTCTAGAAACCAGTCAACTAAAATTAGGGTGTTTACAAAAAGATTTGTGTGTAGACCTTGGGGTCCCAAATGAACCAGGCCCCACTACATTAGCCCTAAGCAACAAGAGACACTTATTGACAGTGACGCTTCCCCAGATCCTACAAACAAAGGCTAGGTTGGGACAACCTTGTGCGATTGGGTTAGACTACTTCAGCAGTCTTCGCCATCAGATCACCAAGACCCTTTACATTCCAGACCAAAATCCTCATTAGGACTAGTTGTTCAGCAAGGGATGACGCTCGAGGGGGCAACCATTATAAGGAGCTTCTGAATTGGAACGCCTCGGAGTGAAACTCCTGAGGAGGATGGCTCCTAACTTTCGTTGTTGATGGTGGTAGAGAGGTTTCTGAGTGCTCTACTGCTTCGACCTCTTATGAGAGCATTATACCTCAAGGCCCGACTGATGTTAAAAAACCGGTCCATCAACAGCAAATCCATGGCCAAACGCGCTCTATTGATGTCGCTCAAAGCCTCAACTTGATGAGTCTCTTCGGCGAATCCATAGCGTAATAATAGGAATTGACTCAAGAGTTGCAGGTTATGCATTTGGTGGCCCTCTTCTGCCTCATCCTCTGTGTACAGCATGTGGTTGGAGGGCCCTGGCAATAGGAGGTGGGATACTTGTTCATAGGCCAATGGCAGTTAACCATGGAGAGAACAAACAAAGAAGAAGGGAACAGCTGTAGGTCTAATAGAAAGAAGGTGTTGTTCTTTAGAGATTGAGAGATATAACATCATAAACTTCCTACTCAAAATTGAGTGGGGATTGTGTCCTAATCAAGTATTTAAAACATTTAATAATGATAAACATCCTATATTTTTGCGAGTTTCTGCCTAAACTCATGAATTTGAATTTGAAGCTTCAAAAACAATATAGATCCAATGATCTCTTAAAAAAAATTAAATGTTGTTCTATGAAAAGTACAAGATAGTGCATTTTAAGGCTCATATAACTCATATTCCTTACATATTCATCATCATATTGGTCTTTATGCTCGACTATAAATTTTGAATACAAAATATATGGAGTTTTAAAAGGGTGAACTTACTATATTAGGCGGGTCTCTTGGTCACACAAAAAACCTACCCAAACTAATTTTTATGCAAGGAAAGTGTACGGCCCATTAAGGTGTACATTATGGGATCATGCATGGTCGATTCCTGATCCTCATAATAGATGGGGCTGCAGAGGGGCTCGACTGGGCTGTGGGCTTATGGGATGGAGCAGGGACAGAGCCTGGTTGAGCTTTAGCCCAGCTGGAAATATATGTATAATATATTTGTAATATATTTATGAATTTTTTTTAAGAGCTACATATTATGTCCCCAAGCGGGGTATTTCAAGATGGGCTGATCTTAAGCCACAAACTTTTGGATCTGTCTAAGGCTAGGTCTTAGTCAAAAAAATGCCTTTCCCGGTTGTAGCTCTGAAGCATAAACGTAAGAATAAAATGGATTTCAAGTTTTGGAAATATTGTATCTTGTATCATATTTTTTTACTTTCAATTTTCAAGATTTTCAAGTTTTTTTATATCTGTTCGATATACACTATTTTTTAAGCTTTAAATTTTATAATTAAATATAAAAATATATTTTAAGGTTATCACAAAGATATTCAATATTGAAACCACATTTCTCGACACTATTTGAACGTAAGTTCGAATTTGATTGTTTAGAGCCTCAACTCTATACAAACCACACCCTTTAGATTTTGATTGGCTTAAAAGACATGTCACATCAATACAATCCAATTTACCAATTAAATTGGATGGTGTAAAATACCATAACTTTATTTCTACACGTACATTGCTACACATACATTGCTAATGGACAATAGAGATCCTCATACCTTGAGTGCACATGTCACGTGGAAACTCTACCAATCCATTTCTAATGCATGGTGAATGTGCCTGTGATGTAGCATAAAATGCACACCGATTGACACTGGTGTATGACATATGGGTATGGTTTATATAAAGTGGTAGAAGCAACGTTACAATCTTCTACACTATCTATTTTTATTAAAGAAATGTATATAATGAGACCATTTATTTTTTATATAAAACGTTCACAAGTATTATTGACTGTTAGATTTAAAATCGGGTTGTTGATGATGTTTCATTGTTTAGGCGCAAAGTCCAAAACAAAATTTCATGAATGTTGTGACATACTTTCATCTATTGGATTTCATATCTAAGGCTAAAAGTGATTGCAACCTCCTTATACCAAAAATACATGGTCTTATAGTATATAATCTCTTTTGTTAAATAGTGTAAAATTCGAACTTTTTTAAGACAATGACAAATAGAGACACATCTATTAAAATAATATCAAGTCTACACCATTCAAATAAAATTGACAAAGTAATAAACATTATCTTTTGGTATATATCATGTATCTCATGATTTTCAGAATAAGATAAAGGGCATTTATCGTCCGAGTCTATTTCGCGCACCTTCTTGCAGGGTATAAGAAACAACCATTGTGTGAAACGACCCACCCATTATGTGAAGGCAATAAGGAGGGGGTTAAAATGGGTCTGCAAAGATGAAATGGCCAATTTATTCTATAAGAAAGCTGTTATAAATGGCAGTTTCTTATGAAATCAGGGTTGAGTTTAAATTTTTTATCATATTTAGTTAAAAAGGAAATAAATTTTCGAATACTTTCAGTGATTCATTCTTCTTCTTTTTTTTTATTTTTATTTTTTGCTTTTTTTTTGTTTTTGTTTTATTGGGTTATTTTGTTTAAATTTTTTTATCATATTTTAATAAAAAGGAAATAAACTTTCAAATATTTTCAGTGATTCCTTCTTCTTCTTTTTTTTCCATTTTTTGGGTTATTTTCCCCCTTTTCCCCTCTTTTTACTTTTTTAATCCATTTACTCCTCTTCTTATTTAACGACAGATTATACCGCATAAAGGCTGTTACCATGTTACAAAACCAGAAGCGACCAGCCCCAAAATCCGTCCCATGGCAGCCGTTTTTTGAACCTCGCTTCCTCGGCTTCTATAGTCTCGAATAGTCAACCGTCAAAACCAAAGAATTAAAAAAGGCTTTTCTTTTCTTCGTTTTCTTTCCTTTTTTTAATAAATTTGGGAGGGGTCAGTTTTCAAAGTTATACTATGCTCCCGCGGAACTGACCAGCACGTGAACTCCACTCCCGCAGGAGCACAGTATGTGTCTATTCCCGTGCACAAAACACCTATTTAAAAAGATTATTTTAGTCTTAAATTTTGGGAACCACATGAGGACTGCTAGATGATTATTTTCCAAAAGATGAAAAATTTGAATTTTGGTTTTTTGTAACTCTTAGATCTAACTCTTCAAAAAATTGTACGATCTCTATTTAATCTTAGGGCATTTTTTTTTAGTACATAAACTATTTCTTTTAAAAAAAATATTTTTATTAAGATTAGTTTATCGGTCACAGATATTATATCCCAATATTTGAGATCTAAAAGATATTCCTAGCATGTGTACTACCGAGGGATTACATGGATATCATACTCCCGCGGTAGTATAAAACATTTTGGCTTCAAAGTTTGTGCTCGAAACATCACAGTTCTCTCTCTTTATGGTAGTTAATTAATAATATGATCCCTCTCTGGGCATGCATAGTTCATAATTTATATGATATGATTCGCGATGCAGCCCCGCATCGAGGGGGCGTTGGATTGGAATGAGTAGCAAATGGTCCATCTCTGCAGTTAAAATGGCGGAGGAAATTAGCAGAGCGAATGCAGAGTCAGCCGCCATCAAATCGAGGTCCTTATGGCCCTCTATTCTTCGTTGGATCCCCACCTCCACGGACCATATCATCGCTTCAGAGAAACGCCTTCTCTCTGTTGTCAAGTAAGGATTCATCGTTTCAATCTCTTGAATTTGAGATTTTTCATGATCATATAGGTTTTGGGGTCGAATTATTTCGAGAACCCACAACCCAATTGTTGTGAACTTGTTTTTCTGATGTTTATTGATGAAATTCATGAAATTTCTGGTTGAGTTGATGGAGATTTGAAATTCATGAAATTTCTGGTTGAGTTGATGGAGATTCTATGTATTAGTATCCCCATGCTTCAAAGTTTCGTGAAATATGCGCTGCTTGAATGATAGATATGTTTTTTGTTCAATTTTCTGCAACCCAACAGCCAATTTATTGAAATTTGGAAATAATTTGGTGATGGTTACATTTGGATATTTGCAGAATTTAGCCTATTTTTCGGAGATTTTTTCTCATTAAATGATGTTTGTTCTTCCTTGGGGTATAGGTTCAGTTTCTTTGAACTGTTTGGATAATTCGAATCCCATTTTTCTGAATAATTTGAGTTCTTTTTTACCATTTCACATTTTATATGATGTTTAGTTGGGGTTGTGTGGAATTTTCTTTTCTCATCCACTGAAGAAAATGTCCAATTATGACAGAACACAAAGCCGGCATCTCATATTTTGAGTTTTTTCTAACTGTGCCATCTCTTCCTAGGCTGTATCAATGACTTTTTAGCAATGAAGTCATCTCGTTTTCGAGATCTCCAAGAAAAATTATCTGAATTGTGTGGTTTTGAATTGTGTGGTTTTCAGGACCGGATATGTTCAGGAACAGGTCAATATCGGGTCTGGGCCTCCTGGTTCAAAGGTGAGATGGTTTAGATCTACAAGTGATGAGCCAAGGTTTATCAATACAGTCACTTTTGATAGCCCTGAGGATCGCCCTACGCTTGTTATGGTTCATGGCTACGGTGCCTCTCAAGGGTTCTTTTTCCGGAACTTTGATGCCCTTGCAAGCCGGTTCAGGGTCATTGCTATTGATCAGCTTGGGTGAGCTATCTCTGCCTCGCTTCCCTTTTCAACATTCTTATTGCTTTCATGGTTTGCTTCTATGTATTTGGGCACAATTCTTTTTTACTATATATTCTGTTTTGAACTTTCAAAAATTTTCACAAGCAATGAATAATGCTCGCAAACATGTTCTCAAAAAAATGCCTAATGCTCTCAAACATGCTCTCCTGCAATGCATAATGCTTTAATGAAAAGTGCCATAGTTTAGGTCATTGTATGAGTAGTATTCTTCTTAAGTGGAAATTCTGTTTCGGTCAATTTATTTGAATATGTATTTTTGTTGGGTGGAAATTCTGTTTTGAACTCTGAAATGTGTTCTCCAGTAATGTATGATGCTAATGTATGATGCTTTGGAAGGTGTGAATTCTCTGTTACTTTTCAATTGCCAGGTAGTTATGTAGTGAAATTAGGTAGCATTTGAAACAAGTGAACTTGTGCTGAATTATAAGTTTGTGGTGTTCCTTTATGAAGCATGTATATTAGTGGAAATGTAAAATGACTTTTTAGGGGAGTGTTCTCTTGGTTCAAGAGAAGTGAAGCATACCATTGTCACAAGCTCACCAGACTTGCTTATCAGACTTGCATTTTGTGGTTTGAAAATGCAGGAAACAATGTTTCAAGCAGTGCTAGGGCTGTAAGGGGGGGGCTGGCACCTTGGATTTGTGGCACCCCCATGCACAAATTTCAAAATCTTCACTTTGTCTTTTTTGTTTTCCCCACACACAAATTTCAAAATCTTCACTTTTTTTGTTTTGTTTTTCCTCTCAAAGATATGCATTGGATTTTTTTGGGAGGGGGGAATCTTCCCCCTCAGAAGGGGCACAAAACATATTTTTTGCCCATGGCCCGAGCCTGATTTCCCCCCATGATCCATGCAAGACGGGCACCTGCCGCCTAAGGCCTGGACACTTCAGCCTAGGCGAGGTACCTAATCCTGTTAGGGCTGTGGCAGGCCACCTTTTGATACCTTGGCATGAAAAGAAATGCCACTTTATGGACCTTGAATGAGTCAGCTTTGTTTGGACCTTGAAGCATAGTATTGAAGCCATTATCCCCGAATCATTAAGCCACGCAATTGAAACCCCTGAATTGCTTTTTCTTTTAGAAATAGGGTTCCTATATTTGCTATTGGTTGATGATGTGATGGCATGGTGGGATATACTTAGACGAATTTTGTGTAGTGGATAATTGATTTCACAAAGGAAGATTAATCTCCTTTGGTGAACAGGTAAAATACTGTTCAATTTTTTTCTTAAAAATGAAAAACTGGCTTGGGATATATGTAATCAGAAACAACGACAGAGTGTCCTTATCCTAAATATGCAGATAAAATTGTAAACATTGATAGAACTGCCCCTTATACTTCATATTTTTATCCCTACCCTTTAATTGGTGGTTTAAGCTTCATCAGTCAGAATGGCCTAACGCTAACAATCACAGATGCTCGTCAATGCTTTGAATAAGTCGGTTAGTCTTGATTAGTGTTTAATTACATGGACTTGTTATGCCACTTTCCATGGACTGGCGGCAGGTCAGCCTGGCGAATACTCAGTGAAATCGCCAAGTTTTTCCAAGCTAGCTAGTTGTCGTAAAAAATCCAAAAAAAATTGGAAAATAAAAAAAATTAGAAGACAATACAAATGAAAAATGATAAAATTAATTTTATTGTCTCACATTTGCTGAATTATTTGATATCTAATGTAACATTCAATGATTCCATAATTTCTAATATCCAGTGCAAGTTCAAACGAGTTCAACAATTTCTAAGTTCCCAATTCATATTAAAGAGTCTATGATTAATGAGTTACTAATATATTCCATAGAGTGACAATTGCATATCAGAAAGAGTCAGAGAAACAAAGAATATGGAAAGAAAAAGTTGATTCGCCGATGACTGGTCTCGAAAGCTACACACCATCCCTATGCACAAACCGGAATTATCTCCGAAATACTACTTCCGAAACATTCGAAGTAAGCTAGATGCATTAGAAACTATAAGAAAATATTATTGACATGAATATATATGATATATGTATGTATTTATCTCTCTCTCTCTCTCTCTCTCTCTCTCTCTCTCTTTTATATATATACACATATATGCTATTCCATAATACAATAAACTAATGGTAAACTTTGAATTTTCAAAATTTTTGACATCAAATGCCCTTATAGATATAATAAAGTATATTAACAATGGCTTACTTCAAAAATTTTGAGCAGGGCATTTTTGTAATTTTAACTTATCTTTAAAGTCCAATCATCATTCAAAAGTCAAAGGGATCTTTTTGAATTTGAAATTGAGTTTTGGAGGGATTTTAGAAAGACCGAAATACCCTTTTTAAAGTGCATGAAATATTTATGGTAAAAACTCATTTTTGACCATGAAAGGGTATTTTATAGTAAAAAAATTCTATAACTTTTAAGGCTATTTTGTAGTAAAAAACTTTTAAGGCGATCTTAAGGCTATTTTGCAGTAAAAAATTTCTATAATTTTTAAGTCTATTTTGACCATGAAAGGGTATTTTATAGTAAAAAAGTCTTATAAACTTTTAAGGCTATGATGTGTGTGCGTGCGTGCGTGTGTGTGTGTGTGTGTCTATATATATATATAGGTGTGGTTTCTATAAGGTTGCAACCTTAAACAATCCAATTATGGTGCACCTCCAAATTTTATCATATCATGTAATTTTGGTGTAAAATATTCTTAGGATTATCTCAAAATCTATTTTCATATCTAATTATAAAGTTTTGAACTCCAAAAATGGTTAAAATCAAGCAGATTTATAAACATATGAAAATCTTGAAAATTGACGGTCTTAGATAATATGTTGCAAGATGCATTATTTTTGGGACTCAAAATCTTTTTTCTTTTCATATTTATACATCTCTTTGTTGAGATTATCAATTAGAGGGTCAACACTAAAACAACATTTTGT